CCTTCATCAGAGGATTTGGCCAGGGAGGTGCAGTCGCAAGGAGTACAAGTTTGGAGAACCAGGTCCGGTTGGGCCAGTGTGGCCCGATCTTGCACAGGCTCATTACTAGGGTTTTCATTTTGTCACAAGGTACAAAGTTGAAGCGGAACTAAGTCCCACTGAAGCTGTGTTCCCCCCGGGAAGGTGCCATTGTAACACCGGGCCGGGTTCGGTTGTGTATCTGTCACCATAACAACGGTGGCTAATGACAGATCAACATCAGGTGTGGGGGATTTACACTGGGATCTGTGATGGGGCTGTGTAGGCAAATGGAGAACATAAAAGGAAAGTGAAGAGACAGTTGGTGTGATGTTTCCCCGGGAGAAGTCATTTCTTTGGTGCTGTCGCCGATTTGTGGAGGCATCTGGAGAATGTTGTGAGGGCTCGCTGTATTGAGGGTGCAACAGCGATTGTGTGAACACGAGTGGAAGACGTCAAAGGATGGAAAGTGAGCGAGTTATAGAGATTGAGTAAAGACTGGAAAACGCCATCATCAATGGAAGAGAGAAAAGTAGTATGATATCAGATCTAATTGAATGTATGCACCTGCACTGAGTTGGATATGAAGTTGTGGAGTTGAATTGATCACAAGTGTAATTGCCACTTGAGAATGGTTGGACTGAGTTATCACTGAACTCCTGTTACTCTTCTTCTGAGTGTGAGCGAGCGTCGAGGACGCTTTGTCCACTGTGCCAGTAAGGAGGCATCCAAATTTCCTCGCTATTTGATGAGAACTGATTCAGTACGACAGTGGAAGGATCGATCACTGGGTGAGTGCTGGCCTTATTGCACTAAGAGAGAGAGTGGATATGCAGTGCCTGAATTGATGCGTCACACAGTATTGGCTTGAAGTGAGGTTGCAGTGTGTGGGGATCATATATATTGACCGCCGTATACTCCCCATTTTGTTATTTTCATCCTCTGTCACTGAAGAAGGACCTCAGTTGTTGAATGTGAATATTTCATCTGTGCATTTTGGTGTGCACTTGTATAACTTACTCTGTCTATTTAATAGAGAATTCCTCTGCCAATGTCCCCTTATGTGATGCCTGCCTGAAGGAGAGACACACATTGCTTTGCAGAAACACACTCCAGCCATAAGCTCTTGTCTCTGCACTGAGGAAAAGCATGCATGTACTTGTATAACTTACTCTGTCTATGTAATAGAGAATTCCTCTGCCAATGTACCCTTATGTGATGCCTGCCTGAAGGAGAGCAGAAAAGCCAGTCACCGAGATAGTTCAGGATGCGAACCCTGTGTTTCCATGGAGGAACAAGAGCGGTCTGGACAACCTCTGTGGAGGCGCAAGGAGACAGGGCTAGCCTGAATGGGATAACAGCGTACTGATATGCATGCCCCCTGACAGCAAACCGAGGTACGGTCTGAGTTGAGAGAACGAACATAAGACTAGGCGTCCTTCAGGTCAATCACTGCAAAGCAATCCTGTGGCCAATCATGTGGAGGCGCAAGTAGACAGGGCTAGCCTGAATGGGATAACAGCGTACTGATATGCATGCCCCCTGACAGCAAACCGAGGTACGGTCTGAGTTGAGAGAATGGACATAAGACTAAGCGTCCTTCAGGTCAATCGCTGCAAAGCAATCCTGTAGCCACACACATTCGAAAATGCGTTTGGCCAAGAGCCCCACTGAACCCTTGCGAGGGTAGAGAAGGTGGAAGAGGCCGCTGAGCAGTCTCGAAAAGTCAAAGGAGACTCCCACGATATCATGACCTCTTCATGCACATCTGGGTAGAAAGGATTTGGGGTTCGCCACCCCCAAAAACCAATCATCAGCCTCGGGACATGGCGGAAGGTTCCACACAAGCCTGATACTCGCGGCAGCCCGGAAAAGCATATCTCTGAGCTCTGGATCAGATTCATTATGCTAGCACATCCGAGGATGGCAGCACAGACGAGCCATCATCTCCAGAGGACTCCATCCCACCTTGTGATGCGACGATATACATAATTTCATCAGCCGAATGAGACCATGGGCCAGGTCTTAGGTCACCCTGGCCACCAGCCGAAGTATTATGTCATATCAAAAAAGATTGGGGTGTAGATAAGGGGGACTCTCACTCTATTGAGCTCATTGAGTCTTGACCGTTGCATTGCGATGGTCACGCTCCCCCTGGGTGAACGTGACACATCCATGAGCGTTGTCTGAGTCCTATCGAAGCCCAAACACGTCAAACACCACTCTCACCCATCAGCTGAATCTATCAGAATACCGCACTCAGAAATACATGGGCAGATCGTCTTTAAAAAGATGTGCCGCGTACACGCTCTTTTTGTGTGAGAAAAGCTTGCAGCAGTGCTGAAGCGCCCAGGGAGAAACACACACGCTGTTCAGTTCAGCAGGCAGGAATATGAAACTTGCTGGAACTCACATCACACCAACACCGACTGGAAGCTGCTCGTCTAGAAGATTCTCGAAGATGGTCAGAGAATAGGCTACAAGAGTGAAGAAAACTCTTGGCTCCGTAGCGAAAACATATCTGCATATTGCCGGTGTCCTCCACAAGTTAAGCCGGAGATACACTATGCAAATTTCGCAGAACCATGTCATTTCTTTGCCATTGGCTCATTTTGTAATACTCAAAGTCGATAGGCTTTCTAAGCAAAACCCCATTCGTCGTCATCTGGCTGAACTTGGAGTGACAACGAAAGGGAAAATATTGTGGCAACGGAAGCAAATCGATCAAAACTAACTTGAAAATAACTTTATTCTAAAGCTGCTGTAAAGCCAAAACAATCTCTTCTAAGTTACTTTAATTTCCCATTATCACGGTAAAGCTGAGAAACAATCTATATTGTTACAAGGGCTATATAAATGAAGGTGACTTGAAGGTGACTTGGTTTGGGCGAATGCGTACGCAGCGACCGGCTGCAGTGGAAAGCATGTCCGATTGGTTTGTCAGAGTTTTTGGGGGTTTTTTTGTGATTTTTTGTGAGTTTGTTTCAGTTTGTTAGTTTTTTGTACTGACCAAATATCTACTACGGCTTGTCAAAGCGTGTAAAAACGACATGGATCCGACTTTGTTCCTTTTTTTGCCGTCCGTATGGCACCTGGGTTCACTCTGGCCGATTCAATACTCCAAAGATTATCTGCTAATATTTGAAAAATCTGTGATCAGCGGACCACCAGTGGACTTGATCATACCTGATCTGGAGGAATTGGCCAGTCTCGGGAAAGCGAACGCTTCGGAACTCTGGAAAGGAGGCCAAGGAGGCGAGGAAGAAGCGGGGTG